CCTCATCTACCTTCTGTTGTCTGGGGCTCACTGACATTTACCTTTCTTACTAAGACCTCCCCACTTCTCAGCACTCCCTCCCAGGCTATTCCTTCTCTCACACCCTCTGGTGCACAGGGCCAGGAGGGGAAGTTGGCCCACTTCATGGTCCTGCTGCCATTTTCAGACCCTCCTTCTGTCTCTATCACTCATACGTTTCCTCCTCCTTTGAAGCTCACTCCATGCTGTCCAGATACTTGCTGCCATCATCTTTGGGCCCCTAGGTCCCTCCCCCCACAAAAAAATATTCAATATCACAGTCTTCTGTATCCCAATCTACCCGCTTCGGGCTTCCCAATTCCCCAGTCTCTACGTGTAGCAGTCATCATCACACTTTAAATGCCTCCGCCAAATATGGCCTCAGACACTTACTAGCTGATGTGACCCTGAACAAGTCATTTAACCCTGTTTGCCTCAGTTTCCTCATCTGTCAAATGAGCTGGAGAAGGACATGGCAAACCATTTCAGTATTCTGCCAAGAACATGCCAAATGGGGTCACAAAGAGTTGGGCATGACTGACGGGACTGAACAGCAGCAAAACTTTGTGTTTTTAAAAATCACAACACTTTAAATCTTTTAAAACTACATGAAGCATTTCCTCATAGCCCAGGAGAATGGTGTTTCCAGTAACTAGTGCTTGGTTTCTTTCTCCATTTCTGTTTTTGGCTTTGGTGCTCTTAGCATTTTGTAAAGCTGTCCAAAGACCAAAGCCTACATTTGAGCAAAAAGCCTCCACTTTCAGGGCTGGGAAGGCAGAGAAGGAGGGTGCTGCCTGGCAGGGCTGCTGAGGCCTTGGGGCATTTATGAACTTGAAGAGAGAGGTGTAGAGACAGAGCATTTGACTTGGAGATGATCTCTTCTTACGTCTTTAGATTCCCTTTTCTTTAGCAACCAAAAAATCTCACACTTGGTTGCTAAAATTTGTCCTCCAAAGTGTCTCACTTATCTGTGTCACATTTGGATTATCTTCCTCTTTAAAGCAATAAAATGACAAATATATACCAGAAGGTGCTGCTAGGGGACTGGAAATACATAGAAGAAAAATGACAGTCCTTGCTCTCAAGGAAATTATATTTTACTGGGGTGGTAGAAGTGACTTGCCCAAGGCCACACAGCTAGTGAGTATCCGAGGCTGGATTTGAACTCAGGTCCACCTGACTCTGGGGTGTGTGGTATCCACTGTGCTACCTAGCTTCTGTTTATCTTATGGCTAAGGGATAGTGAGAAAGACAAAGGAAAAGTAATGAGAGAAAAAGATGAGACATGATGTACAGGAGAAAGGGAAAGTTGTAGAGGGTTGAACTAGATGACGTTGGAGATACTTTTCCACCCTGAGAGTCTGTGATTCTATGACCTGAAGAGTTGACTACAAATTTTAGCTAGGTGACTATTGTCAGTTCCAAGATTTATGGAGCTCAGCCATTTGAACTCCTGGTGAGCTGAGGGAAGAATATGCCAGGGGTTCCTTTTGTTAACCACTCTGGCCTTTTGTAAGCGTAACCTAAGGGGTGGTGGTGGATATGATCCCCCACCCCAGTTCAGTTGATGTAGTCACAAAAAAGTAAAGAGTAGATAATAGAGATATTAATAGTTACCCTTTTTTTTTTGTTAGGCAATTGGGGTTAAGTGACTTGCCCAGGGTCACGTAGCTAGTAAGTGTCAAGTCTCTGAGGCTGGATTTGAATTCAGATCCTCTTGACTCCAAGACCAGAGCTCTATCCACTGAGCCACCTAACTGCCCCAACAGTTACTTTTTAGTGATCCCTTTAAAAGCTATGAACATCTCTCTGACTGAGACAGATGAAAACAACCTGATTGATTAAGCCCCCCCCAAATTAATTTTGCAACTGAGAGCTTTAAATAGTTAATCACTGAGGTGTTAGAGAGTATCTCAGTTCAAGCCAGTCATGGACAAGGAACCCAGTACCTGAGGAAGACATGTTCATGGGGTGTCTCTTCTTGATCATGTCACTTTGAAATGGAGTTACTCAATGGTAAGAGACACTGCATCCATGAGGGTGCAAAGTGACACTTTCCTAAGTGGACACAAAAGCAGAGAGGCAGTCCTTTGAGGGAGGGAACCTCATTGAGGAATGAGACCCCCCTGAAAGCAGAGAAGAGAACCAGCTGTGGAGAGGAATAGACCCTGGGAACCCAGCCTAATAACCCAGCTAGCAAGAACACTGCACCCAAAGGCAACCCCATGTGGACTGTGAGGAGAGGAAGGCCATCCCATCCCTTTGCCATACATGTATCGTATACACGTGCCTTGTTATCACTGAACTCTAAATGTCAGTCCACTATTCCCACAGAAGCTACACATATTTGTGGGAGAGTGTGCCCCAGGTTTATGGGTAGAGGAGAATGTATTGAAGCTACTGGGTTTTTTTTCCTGTACCATTTTAGTAAATGCAGCTAAGAGTTAATTGTACCTATTGGATAATTGTTCATGGGAAGCACACCGATGGGGGCTTATGAGCTACAGTAGTAAGGGTAGTCATCCACAGGATTTCTCTTAATACCCAAGATAGCAGCCACCCCTCTGTGTGCAAGTGCAGGTTTGGGGAGCAACCCCAGAGGTGGTTGTTACAATAAGGGTAAAGTAAGCATATTACAAACTTGATTTCACAGCAGCCCTGTGAGGCAAGTAAATATAAGATATATACAAATTGTACAAAAAAGTAGTCATTCATCCAAGTCATTCCAGGGGTAGCTGAGTGATGCAGTGGATAGAGCAGCAGAAAGACCCAACCTCAGAAAGGCTTCTGGCATCAGACACTTACTGGCTGTGAGACTCTGAGCAAGTCACTTAACCTTTATCTGCCTCAGTTTCCCCATCTGTAAAATGGATATGATAATAGCACCTACCTCCCAGGGTTGTTGTGAGAATCAAATGAGGGGAATATCTTGCAAACTAATGTAACTGAAATGGAGGATGCATGAAGGTGAATAATATGGCCCAGAAGGGTAGGTAGAAACCAGGGTGCAGAAGGCCTTAAATGTCAGTCTGACAAAAAAAAAAAGAAGAAAAAAATGACAGTCTGAGAATGTTATATTTTATCTCAATATAGTAGGGAACAGTCTGAAAATGTTATATTTTATCTCGGATACAATAGGGAACAATTGAAGATTTTTGAGTAGGGTAGCAGGAATCTCAATCTGGTAGCAAAGGGGAGGATGGATCAGAATAGAGGCTGGGAGCAGGGATGTCACTTAGGAAGCTCTTTCAATAATCTAGGCTAGAGATGATGGGTGGTTGTTTGATCAGAAAGAAGGGGACAGAACAGAAGAGAGATAGGGGAGGACACTGGACCACTGATAAGACGCGGGAGAGGCTGAGGAGAGCCCAGGAGGCCAGAGCTGTAGATGTAGGTAACTTGAAGAACGGTGGGGCTCTGAACAGAAATAAGGGTGTTTGGAGAAGAGATGGGTTTGGCAGGAAATACAAGATCCATTTTAGGTATATTATATTGAAGATGACTAAGAAATATCCAGTTGGAGGAGCCTAGCAGGCAGTTGGTTCAGAAGAGAGATTAGGGCTGTGTATATAGATTTGGGAGTCATCTGCACAGAGATGATAATGGAACTCATGGGAGCTAATGAGATCAACAGTGTTCTTCCTTTCTCAATTATTTTTTTTTTAGTCATAGAATGATAAAACTGGAAGGGTCTTTAGAGATGACACTTGAATCCAACATCCTCATTTTAAAAAATTAATGCTGCCTTTTCTTTTTACATTACGGTCATATATAATATAAATTTTGATTAATATATTCAATTAATTATTTAATTGATATTATATTTGTATGTATGACATAGAATGCCTTATATACATATTCCCAGTGAGCATCTCCCTTGTAACAAAGAAAAATCATCAAGCATAACCAATCAACACAGTTACCGTGTCTAACAGTGTATGTAACACTCCACAACCCTAGGCCCTCTCTTCTTTTCCGAAAAGAAGGAGATAAATATCGTTGTTATTCTGGGGTCAAAACTAGTCATCACAAACACTAAGATTTTGTTTTCATGTTCTTTTCATTTACCTTAAGAGCGGCTAGGTGGCGCCATAGTGCATAGAGTATCCCTCCTGTAATGGGAAAACTCAGGAATCTTCTTGAGTCCAAAACTGGGCCTCAGACACTTACTATCTGTGTGACCCTGGGCAAACACTAACCTTTTTGCCTCAGTTTCCTCATCTGAAAAATGAACTGGAGAAGGAAATGGTAAACCACTCCAGTATCTTTGCCAAGAAAACCCCAAATGGGGTCACAAAGAGTAGGACAGAGTGAAATAACTCAACAAGACATTGCATGTTACTCCACTGATTCTACTCATTTTACCCTGTATTAGTTCATGATCTTGCCATCCAACCTCCTCATTTTCCTTAGGGGGAAAGGGAGGCCCAGAGAGGGGAATTTAAATGCTCGAAGTTACCAGCTAGCAAGTGGCAGGTCCAGGATTCAAACCCAGATTTCCTGACTCCTCCCAGTTCAGCACCATTTCTACTAACTAATGCTAGACTCCCTTTCTTCTTCAGGACACCTTTCAGGCACCCTGCCTGGGCATGAACCCATTTTACTGTCCTTTCCTGATCCTCCTCCTTGTCAAAATTTGTTCTAATTTACATTCTGTCAGGACCCTTCATTCTCTGCTAGGACTAATCTTATAAATTAACTCACGATTAAGTGATATTGGCTGATAATGGCTTAATGAAGGGGCATATGATGTCTTAACCCAAAAGACTGAGTTAATGCATGGTGGAATTTTTAATACTGTGGTAGGCGGTGGGAAGGAATTTTTGAGCAAGAGGGAAATTCTTCGCATTAGGACAGTCATCACGTCCTACCTCTAAGTTTTTGGTTAGGTTTATTCCTCTACAAATTGGTGGGAGACGCTCAACTTCTTGGCACATCCTCAAAATCCTTTGATAGCATCCTCTACTCTCTCCTCCTCTTACCCAGGCTCACTCTTTCCTTTGCCCAAGGCCAACTGCTCTACATCTGCCCTTGATTCCATCGCCTCTTACATCCTCCAGCAGACTGCATCCGCAACCATCCCCCTTTATAACCTTGCCCTGCCTTATTTTTCCAGTCTCATTGTACACTGGGCAGATCTTTCTCAGGTCTCAGTTTTTCTGAGGCCTGGAGCCTGGTAGACAAATCTGAATAACTAGGGGTATAAAGTCTGGAGTCAAGAAAACACATCTTCCTGAGTTCGAGTCTGGCCTCAGACACTTACTATCTAATCATTTAACTCTGCTTCAATTTCTTCATCTGTAAAATGAGCTAGAGAAGGAAATGGCAAATAACTCCAATATCTCTGCCAAGAAACCCCCCAAATGAGGTCACAAAACATCAGACACAACTGAACAACAACAAAAATTCACTCCACAATCCAGCACCGAGGTAGCCTAGAGACAGGAAGACCTGAGTTCAAATCTGATCTCAGACAGCTAAGCTGTGTGACCCTGGGCAAATCACTTAACCTCTTGTAAAATTGGGATGATAACAGCACTTACCTCTCAGAAGTTGCTGTGAAGATAAAATGAGACGATATTTGTAATGCGCCATATATGCAAGCCCATTATTATTCACCCAAACTGGTTTTCTCTCTGTTCCTCACCCATGATGTTCAATGCCTTTTCAGGGGCTGCCCCCCATATCTGGAAAGCTCTCTGACCTTACCTATACCTCAAAGAATCCCTCTTTTTCTTTTCAGCCCAACATACCACTTTCTACATGAAGCCTTTCCTGATTGCCCCAACTGCTGGTGCCTAACCTTCTGATTGACTCATTCTTTCCAGTTTAAGGAGGAGGCCCAGACTGAAGATGTCTTCATCCCTGTTCAGGCTGCATGTGCTGATATCTCCATCCGACTTTGTCTTTCGCTGTTGTGGTTCAGTCATATCCAACTCTTCGTGACCCTATTTGGGTTTTCTTGGTAAAGATATTGGAGTGGGTTGCCATTTCCTTCTCCAGTTCATTTTATAGATGAGGAAACTGAGGCAAACAGGGCTAAGTGACTTGCACAGGATCACACAGCTAGTCAGTGTCTGAGGCCACATTTGGACTCAGGAAGATGAGTCTTCCTGATTCCATGGTTAGACAGAAAGACAAAAGCAAAGAGATGGAGATAGGAAGGAAAGACAGACAGAGAGAGAGAGAGAGGGAGAGAGGGGGAGAGAGAGGGAGAGAGAGAGGAGGAGAGAGAGAGAGAGAGAGAGAGAGAGAGAGAGATGGGGAGGGGAAAGGCCTATATATTCATATTTATCCTTGTTGCCTCTCTTACTAGAATGTAAAGTTCTTGCGGGTAAGGATTGTTTCATTCATTATATTAGTATAGCCAGCATAGTACTTGGCATATAGTATGTGCTTAATAAATAATTACTGAATTTAATTAAATCAAAGGTGATGAAATTTGGCCCTAAATGATGGAATCAGGGGCATTGCTTTCAAAAAGGCCTCTCAGTGTTGCTAAGATAATGGTGTTGGAAGCCACTAAAGGATTTCAAGGTAAATTAATTCTCTGCTAGGACTCTCTGCTGCCAGGCTCCTATGGGTTTGAGGCAACTGCTTCTGGCCTCTGATGAGAAATTCTGTGGTTGCACCTGGTCACACATGTTGCCCTCCATGAATCCATTTGGCTCTTGACCTGAATCAATCTGGATTTGGTCCATCTGCCCACAGGTAACCTTCAAAGATGCTAAAGAAGAATGGGATGATATGACATTTACTTGTCTATAGCTCACCAGTTCTATGACTTTAGGCAAGTAAGTCACTTAACCATCCTAAGTCTCCATTCCTTCATCTATGGAGTAGTTAATTATCTTATGCCCTCAAAGACTAGTTGGGTAGATCTAATGGAGTATTGAATATGAAAGGACTTTGAAAAGTGTAGAATGCTATAGAAAAACAAAGTTATTACCATTGCAGATTCAAGATAATTTGGACTGGAACTTTTTCTTTGCAAGAATCCCAGTACATGACAATCTGGCTTTACATAAAACATGGCAGGTAGGGGTGGAGGAATGCTTTACTTTACAAAAAGATTTACCATGATTTCCTTTAAATGGATATTTCCTTAAGGGCCTTCATATATGCTTGATTCATATATGTAGTTAGTGTGGGTGTAGGTGTGGTGCCTACCCTTACCCCTCTTCTAAGGCTCTTTTTAGGTTGGCTCACAGACCCAACTTTCACCCAAGCTAGCAGGTCTGGCTGGAGGAGGGTGGTTCCTAGAGACAGCAGCCACATTGCTGCAACCAACTCAGTATCACAGGGTAACCCTGGTGTGAGAGAGTTATATTTCTACTCCTAACAACTACAGCTCCAGAGCCCCAGCTGGCTCAGTCTACTAAATCAGCCAAAATGCTACCATTAACTTTTTTTTTTTTTTGCTTTTAGGCAATTGGGGTTAAGTGACTTGCCCAGGGTCACACAGCTAGTAAGTGTCAAGTGTTTGGTCTGAGGCTGGATTTGAACTCAGGTCCTCCTGACTTCAGGGCCGGTGCTCTATCCACTGCTCCACCTAGCTGCCCTACCATTAACTTTTAACCAGAAACATTTACTAAATACAATTTACAAAGTAGGAATAATTAAAACATGACATTCTACCTATAAATCTGGAACACATTCCCCCATCAATGGGCATCGTGTCTGTTGGGAAAAGTGGGCACAAATGTATAAAACCACAGTATGGAGGATAACTAGGTGGCACAGTGGATGGAGTGCCAGGCCCGGAGTCAGGAAGACCTTAATCCACTTCCGGCCTCTGACACTTACTAGCTGTGTGACCCTGAGTAAGTCACTTAACCATGTTTGCTTCAGTTTCATCTGTAAAATGAGCTGAAGAAGGAAATGGCAAACCGCTCCAATATCTTTGCCAAGAAAACCCCAAATGGAGTCACAAAGAGTAGGACTCGATTGAAAAATGACTGTACAAGTATGGAGACATGACTGAGGCAACTCTCAATTCTAGATTATTTATAGTCTTTAGCGTCCTTTGTTCCTATCAGGAAAAGTCTGTGCAGCTGTCCTCTAATTGGTGAGGTCACTTCCTTGTTAGCTACAGGATGCTATCACTCCTCTGGGCTGTAGAGATGGTGTCAAATCCTTTTAACCAAACAGAAGCCCTAAGCCTGCAGAGCTTTTCCAGGTATCCTTCTTTGTCTGGACTCTAAGGCGGAGTTACATTGTTTCAGCAAAAGCAGTTTCTTTAAGCCTAGAATCTGCAACACTTTCCCACATCTTATCCCTTGGCTGGGCTCTGAGGAATTTCCACTTCTCAGGTAGTAGATGGCAGTGTAAGGAAAAGGAAAGATGGAACCTTTCCCCTGCAGTTAGATCATCCCAATATCAGATGGGAGTACAAGTTCTGAGCTTGTCTGTCCGGTGACCCACCTCTGAGAAGTCTCTCAGACCCACTCAGAGGTCTGATCTTTACCCTCCCTATTCTTCCAAAACACTGTCTCTTGTGTAAAATAACTCATTTTTATCTTACAGGGAGAAGTCAAAATCCACATTTCTACAGTCCAAGCCACAAGTAGGTTGTACCACATCCTCCAAATCCACAGGTCTAAGGTTTTCTCTCTTTCAATTTCCCGATCCCTGGGAATTACAGCATAGGCGATCAAAACTTTGAAAGTCTCTGAGTTCGAGAGTTAGGAACTAGCTTCCAAGAGGGAGCAGAATTGCCCAAGATCACAGTTCTTGGAGAATGAAGACAATTATCATTGCAGCCCTTGTGCCTGGAGGACTAGAGCCACATTATGAGGTCCAGAAGATCTGGAACTTGCCAACTGCTGCAATGGGCTGCTTAGACAATGCGGTTCAGGTCAGTTGTGAGAGAGGATTGTTTTTTCTCCACATTATACTCACTTTCTAGGAGGGTTGCATAGGTTGTTGAAGACTTCCTGTTTCCGTATCTATTTGTGGCTTCCTATGAGTCCTTTGTATCTTTTGCACCTTTTGTGGGATGTAATAAAAGCTTTCCTATACATGAAGTTTATTGAGTACATTGAGAACCTTTGTGGGAGTTGGGGACTGTTGTAGGTTAGGCCTGATTCAGGCCAGTCTGGTACTTCCTGCTAATGCTAACATTTAACAGATAAGACAAGGAGCTTTACTTATTCATAGAATGGAAAGGAGAGTCTTTAAGGACATAGCACCCATTCATGTAGACCTAGCCTCCAGATGGAATCATGTCTGGTTAGAAGGATGTGATGGCTTGTATGGCAGTGATATATTGGCCAGGTCTGAGAAGTACTGACCCCTCAGGGCCTGGCTTTTTATGCCCAGGGTCAGTGGTCTCAGACTCAAATAGAAAGGGGGCCATATATTGACTTGGAAAACCACATATTAACATTATCTATCTTCTGTTGTATTTTCATTTATTTGTTAAATGTTCCCAATTACATTTTAATTTGGTTCAGGCCCCACTTGGGAGTAATTCAGCCTGCCAAGTGAATGTTTGACACCTCTGCCCCAGGGGACTAAGAAGCCAAATCATTGGTCCAAACTGATTAAATTAATCGAGTCTCAGGAACAGCTTCCCTGCCTTTGAAGGGGGAAAACTAGCACAGGACCTGTTACCTACATTTGGGGAAACCTAGATATGAGCTATACCTCAGCTGTATTTTGGAGATTTGCCACAGAGTTAAGCTGAGGGTGGGGAAAGAAAATGAGTCAAAAAGAGAAAATAACCCTTTGGGGGTCAGGGCCCCAGTATGGGACCCTGTCATTGTGAGGGAGGCCAGAGACTTGGGTGTGGACTGTAGGTTAGGTATGTATCCTTGGGGTCTTGATGAAGCCTTGCACATTGGAGCCTCTCTGGAACATATTCTTTGCTGATTTAATTGAGGATAAACCCCTTTCCCTACAAAAACATTATGTAGTAGATAGTACAAGCATTATTATTCCCATTTTACAGATGAGGAAATAGAGGCTCAGAGAGGTAGAGTGACCTAGACTTTATTTGAACCAAGACTTCACCTGATTCTAAATTTAGCACTCCTTGCATTAATTCTCTGAAAAAGTTGACAAGTAGAAGTGGAAAGACCACCAAAATGGGCGTCAGGGTATCTCGGCTCTCTTCCCAATTCTGTACTAATTGGTGAGATCAACTTGGGTGAATTGTTTAGCCTCAGTTTCCTCATCTGCAGGAGAAGACTGTACTAGATCATCATTTCCCAACACTGTGTCCTGTGGAGCCATGGTGTTCTCTGCCATGTGAAGAAGGATTCCAGGAGAATATCTTTTATGCTAGAGTTGGCTTTCTCTCTAAGTTAGTAAAAAAGAAAATTACGGCTGTCAAAAATAATTATTCCATATAGACTTTTCAATATGAAAATAGGCTGAGTTTTACTCTGGAATTTTCCCAATTTTTCTTCATTCCAGACTGCTGGATAGGTTCTCTGGGAAGGACTGACCAGAAGACAAAGACATGAATAGGTAGATAGATAGGTAACAGGCATCCATCAAGCACTTACTATATGTTAGGCACTGTGCTAAGCACTAGAGATACAAATACAAGCAAAAAAAAAAGTAGTCCCTGCCCTCAAGGAGCTTACATCCTAATGAGGGAAGACAAAACATAAAAGGGAGTTAAGTGAGTGAGGGGGTGTAAAATGATGGGTACCCACTGCCAGAGCATGGTGGCGAAGTCTATAGTTAAAAGCTCAGCGAGAAGGGAAATCAAGCGTGGAAACTGGGCCCGTCCCTAAAAGAAAGATCCCAAAAGAAACTCATCAATGGGAAAAGAAGACAAGCAGGTGGAGGGATATTGAAGAGAAAGCAACAGAGAAGTTTCAGAGTGACAGGATAGCTGAGTCATAGCCACAGCCGGGAGGGAAATGAAAGCACAAATGACTAGTACCAGAATACAAGTTGTAGATGGGTTGTAATGATCCCAAATGCATCGGTGCTCACCGACAGCTGTAATTAGACATTTTTTTAACCTAGGGCACAAACAGTTTGGTGGGTAAGGTGGCAGTGCTGGTGAAGAGGACAGTAAGAATGCAGGTGGAGTTGGCCAATAGAGGGGCAACTCAGGGAAATTGAGAAGAGAGAATCTGGGAAAGGGGTACCCCAGTGACAAGACACTAGTGGCAGTGGTTATGCACAGTTCCCCAATATAGCAGGGGCCAGCAAAGAACCAGGCATGAGAACAATAGTTGCTTTGGAAAGGAATAGTGCCCCAGCAGGATTTGGCACCATGGGACAAAGCCCCATTGGCCTGATATTAATGTCTACTCTTGCCCATACCAGTAAAATCATGAAACCATCTGCATATTGAAGTAAGCATTCCAGGCTCCTTCCAGGACCAGCACTTAGAGATTCCATTAATATGTTTCCAGTGCCAAAGTGTTTTATGGCCAATGAAGAAAATGTCAGAGCCTTAGAACAAAGAAGGTCATAGCTAGAATAGACTTTGTTCATGGTGTGAACCCTTCATTCTACAAAGGAGGAAGCCATCAGAAGGGAAATACCTTACCCATATTCTCATAGCAAGTTATTGGCACAACTAGAATGAGAAAATCCAGATTTCTTCAATCCAGTGCACTTTCTATGGTATCCCCCATGCTGATGGACCTCCAGACTTGGATTTCCCTTCCGGACCTCTAGAATCCATACCCCTAGTTCCTGGGGAAGGAAGTTAATACTTTCATTTTAGGAGCTCCCATCCTAAAAATATTAATAGCTCGTGTTTATATTATACTTTGTTATTGTTATTATCACCTCCATTTTACACCTGCGAAAACTGAGGCAGACAGGTTAAGTGACTTTCCCAGACGTGCTCTCCTGCAGCCAATAGGTATCTGATTTTAGGATTTGAACTGAGGCTTTCCTGCTTCTTGGGGTAGCTAGGTGGTGCCATAGTGCACAGAGCGATGGGCCTGGAGTCAAGAAGACTCATCTTCCTGAGTTCAAATCTGGCCTCAGACACTTACAAGCTGTGTGAACCCTGGGCAAGTCACTTCACTCTGTTTGCCTCACTTTCTTTATCTATAAAATGAGCTGGGGAAGGAAATGGAAAACCACTTTAGCATCTTTGCCAAGCAAACCCCAGATGGGGTGACGAGGAGTCAGACGTGACTGAAATGACTGAAATGACCTCCTGCTTCCAGGTCTAGCACTCTATGAACTGGACAGCTACATTACCTGCCCAGGGCCCAGTCCAACTGACCGATCACTAGGTGAATGAAAACTAGCCTTCATAGCCCATTGTGTCTACTAGCTGGCCTTCTGCTACATTTTCACATCCCATCCAGACATCCAGCTGTCCTCTCAGGCCATCTTACCATGGGTCTGCTACCAATGACTTGCTCCTCTTCATCTAGACCATCGTTCTTCACACCAGACCCGGACCCTTCAGCCGCCCCACTCCCCTTTTTATTGCTTACTCTGGCTATAGTTAGCAAATCACTACCACCATTGCTTCTGGAAAGGATGTGTCAATTGTAAATACTATCTCTGTGACTCCCCAGACCCAAATTCCCTTCCCTGGTTTTCATTTTCTCTACTCCCTTTTCTGTGTGCTCTCCCCTATTGTAATTGTAAGATCCAGGAAGGCAAGGAATATCTTTTTTATTTTAAGCATTCCCGGGGCTTAGCCCAGTTTCTGGCACAAACAACATGCCATTCATCCATCTCTTCCTTCATTAAAAAAGAGGGAACAGGGGAAAGAGTGGGTAGGTGAGGAGGAGAAGGGAACAGGGCTTGTTGAATTGAGGATGTATGTGTTGGGACTGTTGACTATTTTGAAAAAGAGGCAACCAGCAGAGGAAATATAAACAGCAATGAGTCCTGAAAGGCTGAGGAATGATGCTGAAGGGGAAAGGGTAAAAGATGGGATTAGGCAAGAAGCAAGAGAAGAAGAGAGTAAAGAGAAGGTGATGGGGGGAAGCTGTCAACCTGAGACTGCTGGTGAGGACAGTCACATTACCTGTTGGGGACGGGGTTACCTGTATACTCCTCTCTCTCAGCAATAGATTTAAATGACCTGCCCAGGGTCACACAGCTAGTAAGTGCAGACTTGAACTCAGGTCCTCGTGACTCCAGGGCCAGTACTCTATCTACTGCACCACCTAGCTGCCCCACCTTTACTGTCTTAAAGCAGGAGCCAGGGAGCTCATGTTTGACTCCCTGACTATGTGACCCTGCTCAGGGATCTAATCTGAAAACTCAGCCTCATAGCCTGGCCATAGAAATATTACCCATTTACTTTGGGAAGATCTTCCTCTGCCTGACTATAACAACTCACCTTGGGTACACCAGGGCCAGCTCTTGCTTTTGTTGGGGTCTAGGCTCTGTCTGTGATCACTCCTGGTGTTCATAATGGAGAAGTACAGGTGACGGGGAGGGTGGAATTTGGAGAGGGATTGGTACAGGTCTGAGCTGAGAAATGTCTTCAGCGACAGTGCTCTAGGCAAAGAGTCACAGGGCAGGAATGTGGGACAGACTCAGATGTAATAATGACAATTTCACATGTCCCTACATGGCTTTGTACCTGCTACTGAAGTGTGAATAGACACCTTCTTAGTGCCACTGTGTGGATTTTATGCCTTAAAGAGGAGGGCTGATTTCAGTTAATTCAAGCTCAGAATCCACTTAGCACTCTGCTCTCTTTTGGGGGCACAGGCTTCTTTCTTCTATAGGGTATATTCTATGCCGGGGAATTTTACTTTTTATTTTTCTCAAGAAAAAATAAAGCTAGGGGCAGCTAGGTGGCTCAGTGGATAGATCTGTGGCCTTGGAGTCAGGAGGACCTGAGTTCAAATTCAGTCTCAAACACTTGATACTAACTGTGTGACCCTGGGCAAGTCACTTAACCCCATTGCTTAGCCAAAAAAAAATTTTTTAAAAATATATATAATAAAAAAGAAAAAAATTAAAAAGAAAAAGAAAAAATAAAGCTAGGTAGGGGGAGTGGGTGGGCAGGGGACATAGAAAAAGAAAAAAGACACAGGATGTGTCTTCCAGAGAGCCCAGATCATAGCAAGCCCAATATATAGATTCATAGAGAAAGGGCACAGAGCTTGCTCTGGCATGGAAAGGAGGGGATCCCCTTACCTAGAATAGTCACTGGAACCTTCCTGTGCCTTGATGCTGCCTCAAACAGTCTTAGGAAAAGCCTAAATTTGCTTCTTCAAATTGTCTACCTATTGCTTCTGACTCTGCCCTCCAAGACCAAGCCCGAACATGTTTAATCCCTTTTCTATGTGACAGCCTTCAGATATTTGTGTCAGAGGCTCATCTTCTAGATTACAGAGAGCTCAGTCTTCTTGATTAAATCAGTCAGGAATGAACTCCATCTTCCTTCTCTAAGCCTTTGAACTAGCCGCCCTCCATGCCTGGAATGTTCTCTCTCCTTGTCTCCACTTCCCAGACTCCCCGCTTCTCTGGTTTCCTTTGAGTACCAGATAAAATCTCACCATCTCCAGGAAGCCTTTCCCACTCCTCTTAATTGTAGTGCCTTTCCTCTGTTGATTATCCCCAATTTATCCTGTATCTAGCTTTCTTAAATACGCTTGCATGCTGTTTCCGCCATTAAACTGTGAGCTCCTTGAGAGAACATGATGGTATTTTGCCTTTCTTTATATCCCTACCTAGCACTTAGGACAGTGCCTGGCACACAGTAGGTGCTTGATAAATGTTTATCACTAGGCTTTGAGATGGCCTAATGGTCTCTCTCGAATCAGTCAATTCATTAACGCTGGAAGAACCAGATACATCAATTAAGGTAAGAAGTTTTAAAAATAACTATTGCAATTTACTATATGTATATAATATAGTATTTATTATATATAATATAATATATTACATTATATATTATATAATTAATAAATTTTAAAAATTATCACAATTTTCTTTGCCTTATGAATTTTTAAAAAATGCACTGTGTGAGCTGCTGCAGTTTGGTATTCTTCAATTCTGCTCCTTCTATTAGCTTTATTCTTGGTGACAGAAATCCTTGGAAGCCATTGGATGAAGAGAAATAAGAAGGGTTGTGGTCTTGGCTAGGGAGACTTGGCCATGTACTGAGGGTTTTATGTCAAGTAATGGGCCAGAGTGCCTTGGCATTCTACCCCTTTTCCAAGGAGCTCTTTCTCTGAGACTTGGCTGGAAGGCTTCCATCCTAAATTGTCAGATGCTCAAACCCGTAGGCGAATCTATCTCCTTTAATTTCTCTCTTCTATAGGCTAAATACTCCCAGTTTCCTTGTCTGATATTCAGGCAGTAGGTATATTTAAAGCTGTTTGTTAGGCATTTCATTGAGAGGTATTCCCTATTAGCCATGAATATGAGAATAGTCGACACGGTGTATTTGTTAAGCACATTCTATATGCCAGGCACTGTGCTAAGTGCTGGGGATATATAGGCAAAAGCAAAACAAAACAAAAAATAAACAAAACAAAAAACAGAACTTGCCCTCAAGATGCTTATAATCTGATGGAAACACTGAATTCTGGGACTTTCCCTCAGCTAGAGTGATGGAAATGCCCGAGGGAAGTCACTCAGCTAGTAAGAGTCAGAGGCAGGATTCAAATTCGGTCCGTCCATCACCCCTGCACCATGCTGCCTCATGTAAAGGTCATGGGGGCATCCATTTGGAAGTAGAAGGGACCTCGAGGTCATCCAATCCAACTACCTAATTTACAGCAGCCTGGAGAGCTGAGTGATTTGTTCACGTTGCCAGCGCCCCTGTTCCACTAGCAGATTCCTATCCATTGCTTTGCCCCTGTGGAGCCAGCCTCAGGGGGACATCCGGGGTCTTATTGGTTCTCTTCCCTCCCCTGGTTGAGGATGGGGAAGGGAAGAGGATGCATTACCATCCAAAGCCCCCTACTTACCTCATCTCGGTCTTGTCACCTCCTCTACGTGTTTCTTGGAGACCTTGGGTCTCTGAGGGATCTTGAAGTACTTCCTGCAAATCACATCGCCTCTGTAGTTCAGTTTCCTCATCTGTAAAATGAGGTAGTTGGGCTAGATAACTCCCAGGCTCCCTTCTAAAGCCATGACACCATGATTCCATCATTAAATAAAAAGCCAGTTAGTCCGACCCACTCTATTTACAGGTGTGGAAACTGAGGCCCAGTGCTATTAAGGAACTTACCTAGGGTTACACAGGTAGTAGGTAGAAAAAGTGAGATTCGAACCCAGGTCCTCTGACTCCAAAGGCAGTTCTCTTTCAGCTCCACCCCACCTGCCTCCTTTATTTCACTGGGGTTTCAGAAGATAACATTTTATTACATTAGACTTTCAAGTTAGGTTAGTAGAGTGAATCTAGGAACGGCAAGTGAGGAAGATCTGGGCTGAAGGACAGCTTCTCACAGAGACTGGACTCTGACCTTGGACTAAAGTACTTCAGGACACCCCCTCAGACCTTAAATTGCAGAACAATGGTTGGACTGTGTGAGTAGAGGGTCTGACCAAAAAAAAATTATTTTGGTAATCTCCTCTTTTTCACTTAACCAGAATGTGCTATTCCCCTGACCATGCTACACTGAGACAGGCTGGTGGGCAGTGGATAGACAGCTGGGCCCAGAATCAGGAAGACCTGAGTTCAGATGTGAACTCCGATACTTCCTAGCTGTGTGACCCTGAACAAATCACTTAATCTGTTTCCTTAGTTTCCCCAACTGCAAAATAGGGATAATAATAACACACCTACCTCCTGGGGTTGTTGTGAATCTTAAATGAGATACTATTTGTAAAAAGCACTTAGAACAGTGGCTGGAACATGTAGGTGCTTAATAAATGCTTCTGGGACAACTAGATGGCTCAGTGGATAAAGTGCTGAGCCTAGAATCTGGAAGATATGAGTTCAAATCAGGCTCCATACACTTACTAGCTGTGTGACCCTGGACAAGTCACTTAACCCTGTTTGCCTCAGTTTCCTCATCTGTAAAATGAAGGAAATGGCAAACCACTCCAGTATCTTTGCCAAGAAAACTCCCAATGGGGTCACAGAGTCAGAGATGACCGAACAGCAGCTAAAAAATGCTTTTTTCTTCCCTTTTATAACTGAGGGTTGTTGGGTAAAATCAATGGGGTATAGTAGAAAGAGTACTGAATTTGGAACAAGTCCTGACCCTGACCTTTCCTTGCTGCGTGACCTCTGTGCCTTACTTTCTTTACCTATAAAATAGGAATGACAATGTTCACACTTGAACTCCTGTCCTGAGGCTGTACATTCCTGATAGATGAGAGGTCTGCGTATTAAGCCTGATCCAGACCTAGCACACTGCTCTTCTGCCATCTTGGTGCCAGGCTGATGCCCATCTACTCTTCCCCCTCAGCCCACAGATCAAACGTTCCTTCCTAGCTACCACTCCCATCATTGTTGTCTTCCACTATTAGAATGGAAGCTCCTTGAGGGAGGCTTTTTGCTTTTTGTCTTTGTATCTTTAGTGTTAGAACAATTCGTGATATAGAATAAGAGTTTAATAAATGCTTTTTTTTGTCTATCCATCCACCCATTCACTATTTACCCCATAGGATTACTGTGTTTTATAAACCTTAAAACATTATAGAACTATGACTTATTATTATTATTAGCTATGTCGAGGCTTGATGGGAACTGAGAGGGAGAAATGCCTCTTTGCCTTAGATGGCTCCAGTCCTACCAACCCTGTCCCTGTTAGAAAGCCTTTCATGTCCTAGACAGACTGGGTCTCTTCTAAGGCCCCTTCCAGCTCAAAATCTGTGCTCTTAATGGACTCATGCAGGAGATGGTACAAACTTCTCATTCCCTAGGGACCTCCACTAATAGAAGCAGGGCAGTCTGTCTGGATTCTCTTAGGCAGAAAAATAGAGGAGATAACTTTTCCAAGAGTTTTCAGAGTTAATGCCACCACTGGCCTTCTTCTGTATCTGTCATCAGCAGCCATCATCACCAGTAACAGCTTTCAGCCCCCAAGATAAGAAAACTCAATCATTTCCTTTAATGGGATTGATTAGAGTTCCTTTATTTTACATTTAAAGTCTTTCAGAACCTGGCTCCAACCTACCTTTCCCAGCCTTATTATACATCACTTTGATTTGTGTACTCTAGGGTCCAGCCAAATTTGCCTTATTATTGCTCCTCATGGATAACACTCCATCTCCTGTACCCATGACTTTGCACAGGCTGTCTGCGGAATGCCCTCCCTCCTCACTTGCAAAGGCCTCTCGGAAGTTCTAGTTTCCTTCAAAGCTCATCTCATGGGGTGCAGTGAATAGAGCACCAGCCCTGAGGTCAGGAGGACCTGAGTTCAAATCCAGCCTCAGACCAAACACTTGACACTTACTAGCTGTGTGACCCTGGGCAAGTCACTTAACCCTAATTGCCTAAAAAAAAAAAAAGAATCAAAGCTCATCTCATTTACCACCTTCTGCATGTCACCTTTCCTGATTCCTCTTCCCCCTCAACTGGCCCCCAATTTCTACGCTTGCCTCTCAAAATTACTTTGGTATTTATTTTTGATAAATATTGTATCTACTTATGTAGCAGAAGCTGAATGGACCTATAGGGACCATTCCATGGAACACATACCCAGATCTTCCCTGGAAACTCCTGGATAGTCCAATAATCAATAAACATTTATTGACTAGTATATCTCCAACGACATAGTGCTGAGTGCTTGGGCATCTGGAGTATGATAAATTTCCTGGTTATTCTGGCCATTTGGTAGCCCAGTGCTGAAAGGATTTGGCATTTTAGAATGACTTCCAAATGTTGTGGTCCCTTGTTCTTCCCCCTACCTCTTGATAGTGGAGGGAGGGGTATGGCGTGTTGCATTTGTTCAAATAAAAAGTAACTTTCAGAATGGCATCTTGCTGTCTCTTCCATGTAACAATCTCTCCCTTTGACTCTCCCATGCAGGGAGTTGGGGAATGGTAAACACTCCTTCTCCCCACCTTACTGACCCCAGGTGCAGAGTAGAGTCCAGGAGGTGAGCTTGCACCTGGACCCCTTCTGGGCTTGTCTACTTTGTGTTTACTTTCCTCAGGCAGCCTTAAGAGTTTGAAAAACACAGATACCTTTCGGTGTGGTGGTTGTGTCCACCAGAATGTTAGGCAACAGCACAGCAGATGCAGGGGGTGGAGGGGTTGGCTGTAGAAGAGGCTGAGCACGAAGTTCAGAGAAGGCTTTGGTTTGGAGTGGAATGATAGTACAGAGCCTACATGAAATGTGAAATGCCAGATTAGCACTTTGAAAAATTGCTTTATGTTTTTCTGAAGTTTAAATAGTAGACTCTCAGAAGATTACAAGAGTAGTTTTTGTGTTGCTGCTGAATTCGGTGTTAATCATTCTGTTAATGCGTGTTGGGGTTAAGTGACTTGCGCAGGGTCACACAGCTGGTAAGTGTCAAGTGTTTGGTCTGAGGCCGGATTTGAACTCAGGTCCTCCTGACTTCAGGGCCAGTGCTCTATCCACTGCACCACCTAGCTGCCCCACATGTTGTGGTTCTTTTATGCCTAATATTGTTTTGTGAGTAGAAATAAATTATTTGTCCCATACTCTGATTCACATTGTGCATTATTTCTTTTACTCCTCCCTCTTTTGGGGAGGTTGCCAGAATGGGAGACAATATGCTAATTAATGTGAGAAAAAGTAGTCCCCTGTCCCCAGAGGCAGGATCTCCAGTACTGAACGCAGGCCAAACCACTTGGCTGGGTGCAGGATAGGGATGGTTGAGTGCTCTAGACCTTACGGGCCTAGCTTAATGACAGGCAGACCTCTATAACAGAGTGTCCCAAAAGCAGTTTTTAAGTTTTAATAATTTTAGTATAAATGGTACCAATTCCCCAAAATTTTTTGAAAAGCTAATTATTTAAATTTTAAAATTATTGATATTATTTTAGTTTAATTATTACCCAATAATTGTTTCATACTTTTAACTAATAGTATTTAAAATTGTTTGTTATTAATAATTATCTGATTATTTTATTTTTTATTTGATTTAATAATTATTTAACATAGTTATCTTATTATTTAAATTTTTAAATTTTGACGTTTCTTATTCAAAGTAAACGTAACCATCGTCTTGTGCTATATATTGCCTACTCAATTTTTGAACTTTGGAAAAACTGCCATTAGGTACTGCTCAGTTTGCATTTGTAATCCTGTTCTTAAGATGATCCAAAGAACAAGGTTTTCGTGCATACATGACAGTTTTGACGTTATCCCTCCAAAAAAGTCTAGTGGAGGTTAAATCAGGGACTGAATGGCCAAGCAACAAGCCTTCCTCTAGTCTGAGAAAGTGTCATCCAGAAACTGTCACACACATCATGACAGGGTCCCTTGTCAAACTTAACATAAAAATTTTATTCTTCAAAATTCACAAAACTCACTAAGTGTAAAAGAAATTTAAATCATAAAACTTTCAACTGATGTTTTTGTAAGTTTACAGCATTTATACTTCTGATGTTGTTAAAGCTTAAAACTGCACTAGGCCTTTTGGGACACTCCATATGTTTATGCTGTCTCCCTCTACAGACTTTTAGGTCCTGGACTGTTTCACTTTTGTCTTTATAGTTCTAGCACCTCCTGTAATGTCTGGTATATAAGGAGGCCTACTAAACACTTTCTGACTGATTCATTGATTCTAATAGAATGCTACCTTACAGTCGTATCAATGAGACACTGTTTACTGAAGATGACAGTTCTGTCTATGCTGTATCTTCTACCCTGTTACATTTTCCCAGATATCAACCCAGTAATAAATCACAGTTTTGGAAGTAAAAATAATCAGAGTGAGATCGGACCTCCCTCAATGCCTCACCCTACCAGAGGTTGCAAACTAGATTGTGAGAGCCCAATTTTAATGGTTATTTCTGGAGTGGCCCCTTGTAGGAGCTGTCAATACATTTGTCGCTTTTATGAACATTTATGAGCTAGGGTCTGAAGCCAAATTTGAACTCAGGAAGATGAGTCTTCCTGACTCCAGGCCCAGCACTCTGTCCACCGAGCCACCTAGCTGCCCTGTGACCAATTTAGTACGCATTAATTAAGTGAATGCTATATATCACTTACGAAAGAGACAGAGTGGTGATAGGGGATTAAGAACAAACATTTATTAAATAGGCAATGTACTTTACAAACATTATCTCATTTGAGCCTCACAATAACCCAGGGAGGTAGGTATCATTACTATCCCCATTTTACAGATGAGGAAACTGAGGCAGACAGTAAGTGACTTACCCAGCTAGTAAATGTCTAATGTTGGATTTGAATTCAGTTTTTCCCAACTTGGAAGCCCAGCACCACCTACCTGCCTAAGCTTAAAGTAAGAAAGACCTGAGTTCAAATCTGCCCCAACACATTAACTCTTGAATTTTCAGAGCCTTCATTTTCTCAGTTCCTATAGTAGGAACTATAAAAGGGAGATAAAGATATTCTAGTGCCAAATTCAGGGGGTTTGGAGCCCCAGATGAAATGCTCTATGTAAACCTTTTTGCAAACTTGAAAACACTGTATCACTGCCGATTATTATTACCTCATAGGGTTGTTGTGAGAGCAATACTTTGCAAATGATGAAACACTATACAAATGTAAGTTGTTATCAATCAATATTTATTAAGTACCTACTATGTCCCAGGCATTGTTCTAAGTGTTTATCAGTTTTAAATTGTTTATACTGAAAGAGGTAGCCTCGCATAATGGAGAGACAGAAAGACTTGAATTCAAATCCCACCTTTGATAGATACTACCTGTGTGACCCTCACAGAAACCTACTGCAGAATCATGGGATTTGGAGCTAGATGGGGCCTCATAAGTCACCTAGTCTGACCCCCCCTCGTTTTACAATTGCAATCAGGTGATTCTTGCGGTAATATTCACTCAAAGAATTGACAGCTAAGTCCTATTGTTTGTCAAAAGAAGATGTATAGTTAAGAATCTAATATTTCTTCTTGCATATAACTACTCATCCTACCTAGGGAAGCTCTTGTCCTTGACTCTTCTGGGTACACAACCATGAAGTGATTTTTTTTCTTTTTTGTTTCATTCCATCTATGTTTGTTCCACACTGACTGGAGAAAGAGAAGCCACCTACCAATTCTTTTACTACCTTGTGGATACAAGTACAGCACATGGGCTATTCAGCTATTATTTCTTACTCTCAGAACATGATTAACCCACTTTCTTTTCTGGTCATACATATCCTTGCCAATACCTTCTATAGAGGAGTGTGCAAGTAAATGTTTAAAAACTGGCTCTCAGGGGAAAAAAACCTATATACAGGACACATTTTAAAGTTTATTTACAATACTAACATTTTCTGTTTTTAAATTTTTCTTCTTTTTTTGCTTTTTTGGTGAGGCAATGAGGGTTAAGTGACTTGCCCAGGGTCACACAGCTAGGAAGTATCAAATGTCTGAAGCTGGTTTTGAACTCAGGTCCTTCTGACTGCAAGGCGAGAGCTCTAGCCACTGCGCCACCTAGCTGCCCCTAATACTAGCATTTTCTTCATTGCTTTCTAAAATCTAGACAATCAACAAGACAATAAATCAAGCTCTGATTTGTAGCATTTGCTGATTTTCAAGATGTAAATGCTCATCCTGAAAATTTAACAATTGGCTCTTGCGGTCCGGCTGGCTCTAGTACACCCCTGCTTTTATACCACTTATCAAATTGTACGGCTACACTGAGAATGAATGTCAGAGGCCATCTGGTCCAACTGCTTCACTTTATAGACAAGAACACTGTAGGTAAGCATCAGAGGTGAAATTTGAACTCATTTCCTCTTCCTCCAGAGTCAATACTCTTTCCACAATACCACATTTCCTTCCCACTTGACCCGTCTAAACCATCATGGGTAACATGCTGCGCCCTACTTACACACACTATACCTCTTTCCTTGCTCTTAGAGTCACCTGTACTATGATTTCTCTGACATTACACTGTTCTGTGATTTGATGCTGTCCAGCATTGCCAAGAGACCACTGGTACTTAAAAAAAAAAAAGTCGAAGCATCCAGTATCGTGCCTCCTTCTAAAAAGCCTTCTGGGAAGGTTTGGGATTGCCTGATCATTTTCTGTGGAAGTCACTTGGAAGTCTTCCTGGATATGAATTCCTAATTTCCGCTCTCTTCCTGCCGTACCCTGGACTGGTTGGAAGGCTTGGACAATGGAAGAACATTAAATAAGTTGAAGACAATGGTTTTTAATGAAAAGCATATATTTTGTGTATCATTCGGCAATGCATGATGGAGAGGCCCTTCCCCAACCCTACTCCAGAGCAGCAGAAGATATCCTTCAACTGCTTCCTATTGGCCATAATGATCCTTTTAACTGGTGGCCGACTGGACCTCTGGGGATATGAGAAAAGGACAATCTCTGACCCTCAAGCCTTTCCTTGCTGCCAGCCTCTATCTTCCCTGATTAGATCCTTGAAGGCAAGACTTCATTTTTGTCATTGTAACTCCATTCACACATAGTAGATGGTTAATTAATGCTCGCTGATTGGTTGAACCATTCGAAAATTATACTCTTAGAGACTTGCCAGAAGATGAGAGGTTTAAGTGACTTGCCCATGGTCACACAGCTGGTGGATGATTTGCACATAGTAGGCAATTAATTAATGTTCATTGATCGGTTGAACCATTTGCAAATTACAGTTTGAGCATTGCTAGAAGCTGAGAGATCTAAATCCATGCAGTTGGTGTATGTCAGAGTTGAGATTTAAGCCTGGGTCTTCCAACTCCAATGGGAAAACTATCCACCACTCCACAGTGCCTTCTTTTACATTTTATGGAAAAGGAAACTGAGGCCCTGAGAGGTAAGTTTCCTGCCCAAGGTCACATAGGTAAGTAGCAAAATCACCCTTGGATCCTGTGAATGCAGACCCAAGATTTTTCCCATTATAGCCCCATGGCTACCTCTCACCACAACTTATAACCCCTCTCAGAAAGAAGGCAGAATTGTCTCAGCCAGCAGGGCCCCTGTCCACTGACTTTGGCCTCTCTCTGCCTACGCTTTAGAAAGCTGCCTTCACTCTCCGGCCAGAGAAGTTGAAGGTAAATTTTCTGAAGTGCCATCCCTCATCTCTGCAGTAGTTTTCCATGTACATGACAGCCAGACTCTATGAATTTCCCAAGAAGTCCAGGGTTAGGAAGAAAAACATCAATATCTGGATTTCCTTCTCTGTTTTTTCCCCCTTCTCCACCCATTTCTTAGAACCCCCTTGCTGGCAGAGTCCTGTCTAAAGGAGTTTTCCAAAAAGACAGCTGTAAATTAGCGGCAAAAACACCTACACCTAAAAAAAAATGCCTAGACCTGGGTTCAAATTCCGTCTCTGTCACTTACCTTAGGTAAATTACTTCCCCTCAGTTTTCTTCTCTGTAAAGTGAGGGGATCAGAACAGATAATCTTTAGAGTCCATTGTACTTCTCAATCCTACAATCCAGAGGGCCAGGCAAGAGAGCAGAACATACAGGAGGTCAGCAGGACAGGCAGGCATTTTCAGGAGTCAGGACACAGTGAAGTCAGGACTTGATCAGTGAAAATGCAGCACCATGAACCTGAGCTGGGTGCCTCCTCATACTCCCTGTTAGGTCAAGGCCTGATCCCAGGATTTCGACAGACCTCACTCTATGGGTACCATTCGCTGCACCTAGCAAAGTCAGACAAAATCCAGCTAGGACCCTCTTCCTATCAGTCTTTGCTTTAAAAGTGAGTTAGCAGGCACCCTCACCTGGGGAGGCTCTATTACCTATCTCTTGCTGGCCTGAAACTGAGAAAGGAACAAGGCCAAGGGGATTTCCAGAACATCTTGTGCTCTGATTACAGGTAGGAATCACATATCCATTGTCTGCAGGAAATAGCAATGTATTACTTGAATAAAGAATCTCTCTGTTAGAACTAACCTCGGCTCCATTCTGCAGGGCTGAGGGACCTGTTTACCCAAAGAATCCAGGGAAACCTAGAAGTTTAGAGGCATAGATTTCTCAGAATTGGGCCAAGTGGTAGATTTTTTTCCCCATGGGGAAGTGCTTATGTTCTGGTGGAAGAATTGCTGCTGCTTTTTCACAGAAAAGAACTGGAAACTTCTTCAGCAGCCTAAGTATTGGAATAAAACACCAAGACAGGAAATTCATCAAGCATCTGGCAAGAGGTCATGAAAATAACGCCATGCTCTGAATAGAAATTAAGTGAACACTTGTGAGGGTTGTCATAGAGGGGATTCCTGCTTTGGGTGGAAAGTTAGGCTAAAGTCTCTTTCAACTCATCACCAACATCATCAGCCATAGACTCTGCCAGTTACTTGACGTATGTGTGTGTGTGTTGTCTGTCCAGCTAGACTGCTAGTCCTTCCAGCTCTGAGATTATGGATTCTCTTTTTCCTCTTGCTTCCTCCTCCCTCTCTCCGCCCCTACAACCAGGCACAGGAGAGACCCTGGTAATAGAGGATGAGCCAGTCCAACTCACAAGCATTTAGAAACAGCTTGGTGTTGTAATGAAAAACCTGAGTTCGAATCTTGCCCCTACATACTTACTAGCCATGTGACCCCAGGCAAATCCCTTAACCCCTCAGCCTCAGTTTCCTCATCTGTAAAATAGGGATAATAATAGCACCTACTTCCCTGGGTTCTTGTGAGGCTCAAATGAGCTAAACCATGTAAAGTGCTTTGTAAACTTAAAAATGCTATCTCAATGCTAGCTGTTATTATTTATGTAGTAAAGACTGTCCCCCACATGTAGTATGGGGGTTCATTGTGTGGCTCAAAGGGAGACTTTAATTCTTGCCAAGAGGAGAAGCAGGAGGTGGATGGCAGAGATTTAGCACTTTGCTCTCATCAGAGAGAGGGGTACCAGGCTAGAATTATATCTATCTGCTCCCTTAAATATTGATAGCCTAGGAGATGTGATTTTAAAGTTTAAACTAAACTTTATATGGCTATTTCTTTCTTTTTTTTTTTCTTTTAGGCAATTGGGGTTAAGTGACTTGCCCAGGGTCACACAGCTAGGAAATATCAAGTGTTTGGTCTGAGGCCGAATTTGAACACAGGTCCTCCTGACTTCAGCGCCGGTGCTCTATCCACTGCGCCACCTAGCTGCCCCACGTGGCTATTTCTTAATGGAAAAAGGAGGACCCAAGTTTTCTATCCAAGGCTTGACTCCTTTCCCACCAAATTCCAGTTCCACAATGAATACACGTAGCAAGCAGCAAAGAAACCCATTTATCCAAATCATAGCAAAACAGATATCAGAGAAAGTAGGTGTGACTCCTGTCTCAAAGTCTATTGGTACAGGACTCTCTCCTCCCTGGTGAAGATGAACGCCATGCACTGTGTGAGGGGCTGAGCAAAGTTGGTGAGAAGGGAGCTTCCCTTCTCAGCCAATCCCTTTTGGAGACTCTCCAGTGTGAATACCTTTTGAGTCCCCATAGGAACTCTCCAAAGGCCAGTCCATTGTAGGAACTCTTCAAGTGGGAACCTCCCCTTGGGACTCCTCAGGGCCAGTCCCCCCTTGGGGACTGGTCAGGTTTCAAAGTTTCTTCAAGTGTTGAATTGTTTTCTAGTTTCAAGAGTGAAGATGGAAAAGACCAACTCCACTTTGGGTTACTAAAAGCAAAGACCCTGGGAAGACATGAGAGCAGCTGGCAGTCTCCATCATGCCCCTCCTCCCAGCTTGCTACAGTAGAGACTGTGAGGAGTTTCCCTTTGGTTGAGATCCAGGACCCTCTCTCTTGGTTGGGCTGAGTTATCTCACTCCCAATGGAAGAGCTTCTTCATTCTGTGTTGTTTGGTGTATCTTCTCTTATGTCTGTTTTGCTATGATTTGAATAAATGGGCTTCTTTGCTATCTGTGTTCATGGTGGGACTATTAGGTGGGGAAGAGGTCAAGCTTTGGATATGAAGCTGGGAGTCCCTTCTTCCTCCCCAAATGACAAACTGATAAGAAGTTAGATGGAAACTGATCGTATCTCCTAGACAAATAAGATTTAAGGGAGCAAATAGAACAGTAAGAACTTGCTCCAGAGCTGTGGTCAGCATCTGAGTTTCCTTTTGCAATTCATTGAAAGGTGTCAGGGAAGAAAGACATGTGGCAGTCTTGGAGTGCCTTCAACATAAACAGAAGGGGATACTTGGAAGGACAGGAGAGCAGCTAACCCGGCTATAGAGGGAGCTGAGCCCCAAGCCTGAGGAAAGGATAGGAGTGAGGATGGTTTGGGGGAACCATGGCTCTCTGCCATTCCATGGTGATAGCCATTCATTTTCAATAAATGAGCATTTTTCCTTTAATTTTTTTTCTCAATTACATATAAAAACAATTTTAAACATTCATTTTTCAGAATTTTGACTTCCAAATTTCCTCCTTGAGGAGGCAAGCAATTTGGTATAGATTACACATATGCAGTTATGTAAAACACATTTCCATATTACAAAAGAAAACACAGACTAAAAAATAAAATGAAACAAAACCAGAAAAATAAAGAAAGTTTAAAAAGTATGCTTCAATCAGCGTTCAGACTCCAGTAGTTCTTTCTCTAGAGGTGGATCGCATTTTTCATCCTGAGTTCCTTTGGAATCATCTTGTATCAGTGAGCAAAGCATCTATAGCCAGGCACTGTGCTAGGTCCTGGGAATGCACAGAAAGCACCTGCCTTCAAGGAGCTAACATTCTGGAGATGTGTATGTACAGATAATATGTATGGCGATAAACAAATAAACAAATAAATAAATGCACGAATGAATGAATGAATAAAATGGGCAGCTAGGTGAAGCCATGGACAGAGTGCTGGACTTGGAGTCAGAAAGACCTGAGTTTGAATACTACCACATGTGATCCTGGGCAAGTCACTCAACCTCTGCATGCTTCAGTTTCTTCATCTGTAAAATAGAGAAATTAGTGCACCTCCCTCCTTCGGTTATTGCGAGGATAAAATGAGATATTTGTAAAGCACTTTACAAACCTCAAGGTGCTATTATAAATGCCATTATTATTAATAAATATAATGTAATTTCTGAGGGAAGGGCATTAGCAACTGGATGCATCAGAATAGATCTCTTAAAGGAATTGGTGTGTGAGCTGAACCTTGAAGGAAACTAGGGATGATGGGAGATGGAAGTGAGAAGGGAGTACATTCAAGGTTTGGAGTGTAAAGGTACAACAATGGTGCTGAGTACAGGGAACAGCACTAGTTTGGGATACCCTTTGGAGAGAATACCTTCTGGTACAGCATGAGAAAGCCCTCGAGACAGTTGAATGAAGATCGGGGTATGAATACACAAACATACTCCAAATAGAAACAGCAGACATTTATAAGATTATATTTCTTTTTCTTTTTGCTTAGACCCATGAGTTCATCAGTGCAGGTAGCAGATGCCATGTGGCAATTCCTTCTATCAATATGAATGGAATACTCATATGTATTACAGTCTTAAAAAGGTATGTGGGGTGCTGAGAGGTTAATGACTTGTTTATAGTCACAGGGTTAAAGGGTCAGAGACTGTGCTTAACTCCAAGGTATTCTTACCTTCAGGACTGGCCCTCTATCCACTAACCCAGTCCACCCTCAGCTTCATGGGTCGAAGGACAAATGATTTGTCAAATGGATCAGAATCGGCCTCTAAAATGTGGGTGGCTAGAGCCAAACAGAGCAGGCTAGAGACTGGAGAGCCAGGACACAAACAGAAGTTTAATTAATTTCGGAGGGAGGAAAATGGTATATGAATACGGAAGCCCCCCTTTAAGAAGAGGGGCTTAACATGTCGGACTCTAGGCAGGTCTTACAAACATCGTAGTCTGGACCATGACATAATCATTGTAGGTCTTTAGTTAACAGTATTGTCTCAAGTCTTGGGGGTCATGCCCACCCTATGGGGCACAGAACCAGAGTTCTGTGACAGGAAGAGGAGTGCAGTACCTGTCAGTGACTGTGAACACGTGATGGATGGACCTGGGAAAGAGAGGGAGCTAAACACCTGGTGCTGGTCCAAGCAATCCAGTTTGCCAGAGGGTGACATCATCCAGAGCGCAAAGGATTGCTGTTATGCTGAGCTCAGAGCACAGACTGCTTATTAGTCCTTAGCTCTGGAAAATGGGGTATTTCCAAAACATTTCCACAGATTTCATCACTCTTTTCACCAATGCAGATCACAGCCTGTTAGTGGGCGGTTTTCTGAATTGCTATAGCTGAAATGGGGATGAGCCTTTGGAAACTTAGCTGGGATACTCCTTAGGGGTCAAACTTGTAGCCCTTTGCTGGTTGTACCCAAAGCCTTTTCTGTGAGGGGATTACCTAGCAGATTTTACCTTCTGTTGGCACACAATCTGAGTACCCAGAAAAACCTCCACACCACGGTAGGGCATTGGGGAGAATGTTATTGGAAAGACAGAGACACAGCCTCCATCAAAGTCCTTCTATGTTCCTGTGTAGTCCTGGGATGGTCCTGGCTTCTCAAAGGTACAAACTGGAAAGTTCAGGGAGAGGTTCTTGGTCTGTGCTGTGAGAACCAGACAAGCTAAGCTTGAAGAAACTCCTCATTAGAAGATTCTGATCACTACTGTGAATGGTGAAACTTGTGGCCACAGCAACTCAGGAAAAGCCTCTATTAAGTGGGTGGAGTAGGGGCATTGAGATGAAAGGAGCAGGGATAGAGATAGGGATTGGAAGTGGACCTGTCATTTCGCTGCTGGAGGGATCTCCGGGGCAAGGAAACTCTCTCACCAATACAGACTGAGTTTCTCTGCCATTTGCAATATTTGAGAGGTGGCTAGAGTAGCGAGAGATGAAACGATTGTCAAAGGGACTTGAACCCAGATCTTCCTGGCTCCAAAGTTAAGCACCTACTGGCTTTATTTGGCAGGAATTCCCACACACGACATTTCATGTATATCGTAGACAGGACAGGTTAAATGAATGACATTGCAGCCGCCAATAAACTAATCCCTTTCTTGTGAATTAGTCATGATTGTCCCTGTTTTATGCGTAAGAAAACCTAGCAGTAGAGAAGTGATTTGTGGTCACCAGACCGAGGCAGAAACCAAACTGGATCAGGAGTCGGGACTCCAGAAGCTCACACTACAAAAGTAGCTCGAACCTTTGCCGGCCTGGGGAACTATACTGTCTCTCGAAGAAAAATCTCGAGGTGCTGTGGGTCACCCTAGAGTTCCTGGGGCCACACACACCTATACCTCCCATTCACCAAGGCGCCAGAGAAACAGAGGACAAAGCAAGAAACATAAGACTAGCAGGTCTATGGGTCTGAAATCATTTCTTTGTAAAATGAGAATTGAAGGGGATCATCTGTAGGGTCACTCGCCGCTCTAAATTCCAGGGTTTGGGGCATCGAGAAGGGTATCTCGGGTGCTGAATTGTGTAGGTCTCCCCATCCGGCTCTAGAGAGCGCTGCTTCTCCGTTTCCGTAGTCTGCGGAGCAAAGTGAAAGTTATTAGGTGCCTGGCTCTGACTGCTCCTGCCCAGGGTTGGGGGCCTTGATTTGGAATGTTGGGTTAACACTAACACTCCAGCCAGGCCAGTGGGGTCAGGATCCATCTAGGGAGCCAGAAGTCTCTCTACATGCTTCCATCTAGGCCTGTAAGGAGGGGCGGGAAACTGGGCAAGATCTTCCACCCACGGGTTAGAGGCTGGTGCCAGGGGGTCTCGGGACCTCACAGAGTTCCCTAGGAGCACTGTGGCGGACAGCTGATCCAGCTGGCCGTCTGCTTCTTCTCGGGCAGTTGAGGAAAGGACGAAGGTCGCCGACCACCTCTGCCCGGCCCCGGTGGCTCCGAGCCGGGAGGACGCAGACTGGGGAGCTGGAGAAGCGTCGGAGCGCGGGGCCGAGAAAGAAGGCGGGGGATTCCCGGGGCGCAGAGCCAGCCAGGCCAGTGTGGCTGTCAGAGGGAAATAGAAGAGGAGGTGGTGGGGCTGGCCTCGAGAGAGGGCAGAGCCTATAAAAAGGCTGGGAGGAAGGCGGGAGGCGGCCGAGAGGTGGCGGCGGCAGCTGCGGCGGCAGAAGAGGCGCTCGCTCAGGGGAGTTAAGAAGCCAACAACTCGGGTCCCGCAGGGCAACCGGGGAGCTCGGTGCTGCGCCTCGTGCTGCGCCCGGGACACGCTAGCTCGGCTCGCCTTCGGACCTGGAGCCAGGAGCGCCGGGAGCTGAACAACGCCTGGTGCACCAACTTCACTTGCCCGCCCGCCCCGCCCCGGGTTAAGTCGGGGAGCCCTCACCCCCCAAGTCTCCGGAACCGCGGCAGGAGGCGCCCTCGACTACTTTTCAGCGCGGGAGGAGCCGGGGAAAGCCGGGGAGCTGAGTTTCCTGGAAGAGGCGCCTGGCACATGGAGTGAGCGCTCCTGCCGCGCACCATGGGGCGCTGCTTCCCGGCTGCTGACCCTGCCCCTTAGCCCCTCACCCCTGCCCCTCGGGATTCGCGGATCTCAGTCGGTCTCCTAGTCTTCTCGCCCAGGGTCGGGGGGTGGCCCCGGCATGGAGTTGCACGCGCTCTGTGGATTCCTCTACTGGCTGCTGCTGCCGCTCTCGCTTCTAGCGGGTGAGTCCCGAAGAGGGAAGAGGAGGTGGGCAGTGGGGGGGAGGGAAGGAGAGAGGGTCCTAGGCCCTGGGACCCGCTCTGGGCCCAGTTTCCTAGAAAGGGGGAGGGGAGATGTTTCCAATAACCTGCATCTAAACCAAACAAATAAAACAAAGGTTTATTTAGCACCAAATGTGTTACGTACTGGGGGTTACCAAGACAGGTCCTGCCCCGGAGGAATTTACTGTCCAGCGGAGAACAAGACCTCTCCCTTCTTCCCCAACTCCCAGCGAACACAGCTATCATTCACGCTAAGTGTATTTGTGAGTCATAAAACAAAGCTCGGCGGGGGGCCCCAGGAGCAAAGTTACTCCAGAACTTCTCAGCCTGGACAGTAAGCTCTGAGACCCAGGCAGTCTTCCCCTCTCTTAGCAGCCTTCTCCTTTCTTAGCATTCTCCTCTCTCAGCAGCCCCCTCCCCTCTGTCTGCAGCCCCCTGCTCAGGGCATGACTCAGATCTCCTGATGCGGGGAGGCGGCAGCACTGGTCCCCGGAAAGACTCGTGGGGGAGGAGGACTTTTCGTGCGGCTCGAGGACTTTCGTGCGGCTCCGGACCTCTCGCATTCCAGAGTTGCTCCCGTGGGGCCGCCGTGAGGCCGCCGTGAGGTTCCCAGTCCTCACCCCTCTGAGATCCCCTGGCAGCTGCTGTCCAGCCAAAGGGGAGGAGCCCCTTCGAGAGCCCCACGGGGAAGTCCAAGGGTCTTGGGGCGGGGATCTCTCTGGAGATTAGGGGAACAGCACGGTGGGCGCCCAGCACATTCAGTATTATGGTGTCCCTGTGGGGGGGCTATCTTCCTTTCTTTCTCATTCTCCTTAAAAAAAAAATTGCCAACTTGCATCACTACTTCCTGACCAATCTGGGAGAAGGCGGGTTTCCTGCCTGGAACTGTTTAATTTGGACCCTCCCGTCCAAAACTAACGTCTATTCCCGCGCCTGCTCCTACCGTCACTAACCCTGCTCCTCCCCACCTCGAGCTGGACGTGCAACACTGGTGATGTCCCCTCCTTTGGAAAAAACAGTCAGGTCTGCTCTGAGCCCTCCTGGTTCTGGCCCGAGGGACCCTCTACAGCTGGGTTGGGCCAGCGGAGATGGTGAAGGGGGTGAGGTGGCAGGAGCCACGCTGGGGAGTCTAGCACGTCCTCTGCTCTGACAATCAACCCTTGGGGGAGGAGATCTAAGCTGGGCTTGCGGAAAACCCCGAGGGTGATAAAGGGCTTCACTCTCTGGCTGGTTAGGCAAAGGAGGCATTCCCCTCAAGTCCTAAATCCAACCCTTTTTCTTATGGGGCCTTTCTCTCAAAGACCTTGTCCCCCAAAGGCCCGATGGGTTTCTGAATCCGTCACTTCTCCCTTTCCCCTCTCTTGTTCCGTTTGGGTTGTCAGAAAAAAAAACAACAAAAAACTTGGTCTTTAGAAATCTAAACTACTAGTGGGGCCTTAGCAGAAATGGAAAATATTCTTCTGCCTTACTTTTAGGTCCCTTTCCCACTCCGTGGTACCACTTTTCTTCCACCTTGCTAGTGATATAAGGAGTCACATCTCTGTAGCCCTTTAAAGTTTACCAAGGCCTTCCCAGAGCACCCCTGTTTTACAGAGATCTTCCCTACCTTACCCAGTCTCACAGTTGATAGGTGTCAGAGCCAGTGACTTGAATTCCAGTTCCTTTGATTTCAAATCCAATGCTCTTTCCTAAAGAAAGAGCCTGTGTAGTTCTCTCTAGGCAGGACTCTATGCGATAAAACACCTCCAGGCCTCCCTGCACCCCAGACACTCAGAAAAGCAAGCTAATTCACACTTGAGTGGAAATAGAATATTTTAACTTTCAAAAAGAAGCACTTCTTGACTTTAATGAAGCTGGCATTTGAGGCATTGGAGGAGAGATGGGGAAAGCCTTACTAATACCCCTTAAATCACATCACCCAATGGGTAAGGCTGTCCTGGCTTGCAACCAGAAGAAAATAGGGGTGGGGTTGGTGGGGAAGGATTCCAGATGAGTGTCCCAGCCTAGCTCTCAGACAGGGCTACCCTTGGTTTGGTTTATAAGAGAGAAATCTCACCAAACTTGGGAACATTTTCATAGCGCTGAAAGAAAAAAAAAGAATCAATGAAGACCATTGAAAGGGAGGGAGAGGCTTTTAAAACTTTCCTCTGCCTAGTCTTTGGACAGAATAGCCATGGACCAACCCAGGAGAACCAGAAAGGCAAATGGGACTGTAAACAGAGCTGTCTTGTTTGCTTTCTGCCTTCTGAGGGAAAGAAACGTAAAAACAAGCCAGAGAAAAAAACTAGTCATTTGGAAGTTTTTAAGTTGAGGGATAGGAAATAAAGAGTTCTTTAAAAAACCAAAAAGCCTTGGATGTCTTTATCATGGTGGGCTCTATTGAAATTATGTTTTGAGACAGAAGGCTGTCTGACTGATCCTACGTTTATTTTTCTTAAGTTTAAGTGTTAGAAATTAGCAAACTCCAGAGAGAGGGATGGAGGGGGAAAGCCTTGAGCCTATATGAGGATTATGCCTAGGTGGGACTCAGTACTACAGAGAGGGTCCTCAGGACAATCTAGAAATTATGGCAGTATTGTGGAGGCATCATCCAGACTGGGGGAGAGAGCACAGTGACACAGACAGTCTAGGTCAGAGGACTGGACTGGGAGGCAAGACATCTGAGTTCTAAACCTGTTTCTCTCCCTAATGATGGTGATGATGATAACTCCCATTTCTATACATTAAGATTCATTTTCAGAATGCTTCCTTACAATAACTCTGAGAGACAGGGAGTACCACTATTGTTTCCTCAATTTTCCAGATGAGGAAAGTGAGGCCTAGAAAAGGGAAGAGATTTGACCAAGGCCATACACAACTTGTTTTAAATTACCCTCTCCAAGTCTCACTTGCCTCCATCTGGAAAATAAGGGGATTGGATTAGTTTATTTCAAAGTTCCCTTCCATCCCAATTTCTAATGCCCAAGGAGTCTATGATTGGAAATTCCTACATGATTAATGCTTGCTAAGTACCAGGGTTGAGCAAAGGGTTGAGTAGCTGTTCTTGACACCCCAGTTTTCCTAGTCCTCTGGAATCATCGCCCCCTTCAGACAACCCCTGGCCACTGCAGCACTTTGGAAATGAATCTTGAGAGAGGCCATCAGTCAGAAGATGTTAGTCAGAAAATTTGCACTGCATGGGCTTAGGTAATAGTTGAGGGTGCAGGTTTGACTCATCTTGGCCCCGAGTCCCCAGGCCCTCAATCCACTCCCTATAAGGCATCTCTGCCTAATAGCAGGCGGGCACTAGAACACCTGACACCATTCACCAGGGCTGCTGTCATTCAGAGAGCTGGAACTGAAGGACACTTGAGAATCAGAATGAAGAGAGAAATATGGCTCCTGGCTCAGGTCCTAGGGCCCGTTTGGGACGCTAAGTTCTTGGTCTAAGCCAGCTGGTTTCAGTCCTATGTGAGTAAGTGTGCTCCCATCCCCCCCCATTGGAGCCTGTGGCTTTGAACTCATTTTCTGAAATGACGTTTCTCAAGAGGGGCTGGGTTCCCCAAAGCCACAACAGCTAGATAGGAAAGACAGACATGACTAGGGCACTAGTGAGGTAGGCAGAAATACAGCCTTTGCCAGGGGCGGGAAGACAAACAGGTGGTTAGAAAGCAGTCAGCCTATTGCTGCTGTTTCTTAACATTTGGGCTGGATGGGAGTGGGTTGTGAAAAATCTACCTCCTGCTTTTCAGGAGGGGGTGTTTGGGGGTGTGTCCTCAGAGCTGTGCATGTGTGAAGGCATGGCTCTGTCAGCTGCAATGCTTCTAAGCATTCATCCATCACCCTCCTGCCATAAGTTGGCATTTTCTGTCCTCAAAGGGAGGTCTGTGCACATGCTCTTTTTGCATCCTCACAGAAACCTTAGAGAGGTAGGCAGGGTATTATTATCCCATTTTATAGATGAGGAAACAGAGACTCAGAGTGGCTAAGTGACTTGCCCCAGATCACACAGCAAGGTAGTGGTCCGGGAGGAACTAATTATGATTCTTCTGACATTAATAATAGACCTATTTAGAGAACATTTTACAAAACACTTTACACATAGCTGTTCTGTGTGAGTGAGTGAAGTGGTGACACAAGGACCCCCCATTTGACCTATGGGAAACCTAAGGAGTGGGGTGGGGTGTAGGCATTTATTAAGTACCTATGGTGTACCAGGCCCTGTGTTAAGCTCTTTACAGATATCACCTCATTTAATCTTCACAACAACCTTGGCAGATAGGTGCCATTATTATCCCATTTTACAATCGAGGAGACTGAGATAGACAGAGGTTAAGTAAATTGCCCAGGATCACACACAACTATTAATAATAATAGCTAACATTTATATAGTACCTATGACACTGTGCTAAATGGTTTACAAATATTATCTTACTTGATCCTCACAACAACCCTGGGAGTCAGATGATAATTTTATTCCCATTTTTAAGATGAGGAAGGTGAGACAGGCAACGGTTAAATCACTTGCCCAGAATCACGCAGCTAGTCAGTGTATGAGGCAGGATGTGAACTCAGGCCTTCCTGACTGTAGACCCACCTCACTACCTAGCTGCCTCTTAGAGAGCTTACCTAGAGGTTAGGTCTCCAGAATCCCAGTCCAATCTGTTTCACCCACTGAGAGGATTTACTTTCTGACTGAGGCAACTCACAGGTCACCTGACAGTAAGAGGTCCTCACTTCCCACTGGTCTCCCTTACTGGAGGCCGCTGGGAGATGGGAATGGGGGTGAAGCAGCATAA